GTTGATCACTCACATTTAGTACATTGCCTTTCTCTATTTTTAAGAGAATTTTAATTCTTAGATGTTCTCTTGTATCATAGTATGTTATACCTAGAAGGGGCCTTAAATATAATCTAAACCAATGATTCTCAACCATAATGGCACATTAGAATCTTTTATGGTTGTTAAGTACCCACTGACTGGTTCTAACTCAGCAATCCCATTTATAAAAGAACTCATTGTTGCCAGATCCTGCACTATCTTCACAACATTGCTATACTTGAGCCCATTGTTGTTATCTGTGTCAATTCACCTCACTGAGGGTCTTCCTCTTTTTTGCTGACCCTCTATGAAGTATGATGTCCTTCTCCACATTAAATGTTTAAGTAAGTGAGATGAAGTCTTGCCATCCTTGCTTCTAAGGAGTACGCTGACTGCACATTTTCTAAGACAGAGTTGTTTCCTCTTATAGCAGTCTGTGGTATACTCAATATTCTTCACCAATGCCATAACTCAAATGTGTCAGTTCTTTGATCTTCCTTATTCATTGTCCAGATTTCCATACATATGAGGTAACTGAAAGTACATGGCTTGGGTCAGATGTATGTTAGTCCTCAAAGTGAACATCTTTACTTTTTAACACTTTTAGAGGTCTTCTGCAGTAGAATTGCCCAACGCAATGAGTCGTTTGATTTCTTGACTGATGGTTCTGTGAGCACTGATTGTGGATCCAAGTAAAATGAAATCCTTAGTAACTTCATTCTTTTCACCATTTATCATGATGTTGCTTATTGGTCCATTTACACCTTTATATGGAGATGTAATCCATACTGAGGGCTGTAGCCTTTGATCATCATCTATAAATGCTTTCAGCCTTTACTTTAGGCAAGCAAGTTTGTATCAGCTGAATGTTATAGGTTGTTAATGGGTCTTCCTCCAAACCTGATGCCATGTACTCCAGCTTCCTGAATTATTTACCCCAAATATAGATTGAAGGAAGGTTGGGCAATCTATTTCCATAGTGATAACGCCTTGGAAACCCAAGGAGGGGTCGCTATGAGTCGGGTCTGACTCGACAGCAAATAACAACAGTAAGTATGATGAAAGGATAAAACTCTAATGCACACATTTTCCCATTTCAAACCATGTATCCCCTTGTTCTGTGACTCTTGATCTATGTACAATGAGCACAGTTAAGTGTTCTGGAATTCTCATTCTTTGCAAAGTTTTTCAAAATTTGTTACAATCTACACACTCAAATGCCTTTGAGTAGTCAATAAAGCACAGGGTAATATCTTTCTGGTATTCTTTACTTTCAGCCAAGATCCATCTGACATTAGCAATGATATCCTTTGTTCCGCATCCTCTTCTAGTTTGAATTTCTAGCTGTTATTTGTTGATGTATGACTGAAGCCATTTTTTAATTATCTTCAGCAAAATTTTGTTTGCATGTGATATTTATAGTGGCTCACATCACCCGTGGAGGCAAAGTCTCAGCTTCTTTGGCATATATTCTTTTTAGACTTCATCTCTCTGAAGTTTGATTTATTTTAGCATTTCCTTTTAGTGTTCTATTATACATTAATACACAACTTTTTGGGATCTAGAAATTCAAATATTATATGATTGGTGGGTCTGTCTTATTCCTCAGCAAATAGATTTTCCTCATTACCCATCTACCCCTCTCATCCCTCACCCACCCTAATCTTCAATGGTAAGAAAACTATTTGAAAACAATATATATTGTGGTTTACCTTAAGCTTCCCTCAGACCTGAAGAACCAGATGGTACCTGGCTACCACTGTCAACCACTCAGAGAAGAACGATGTAGGAGACCCTGGATAGAGTGAGAGAGCAATGTGGAACAAAACTCAAAATCACCCAAAAAAAAAAAAAAATACCCAGTTGGCTGATCTGATAGATCCTGGTGAGACTCCTAAGACTATGGCCCCTAGTTGTCCTTCAGATCTGCAACTGAACTCACTCCTGTGGCTTGCAGCCAAACAATAGATAGGCATATGGGGTGAGCATTGACATCAGGGAGGGGTCGCTATGAGTCGGGGCCGACTCGACGGCAAACAACAACAACAACAACAACAACATTGACATCAGGTAGACACACTACTTGGAGTGATCAATGGACCAATCATGGGAGAACAGAAGGACAGTGTTTGCTCAGGGAGACAGCTGGTGTGGAGCAGGAGTGCACTGGAGGAAGGAAACAGGGAAGAGGTGACTACAGGGGAGGAAGTGGGAAGAGAGCTGTTACATTGTGGGGAATTGCAGTCAATGTCATGAAACAAAATATGTATGTACTGCTGTATGGAAAATGAATTTGCTTTGTAAGCTTTCACCCAAATCACAATAATCTAAAAACAAAACAAAACGGCTTTCCTCAGAATAGAGATAATTTCATTGGAATTCTGCTAATGTCCCTGTGAGAAAGAAAATTATAGTTCTCATTCTCACTTTAAACCAAGAAAAAGATACTAAAGTTTATCTATATTGATTTTTAGTAATGTTTTCTCACAATGTGGTCCATAGACTACTAGTATCAGAACCACTGGGGGTTTTGCTAAAAAAGTCATAATCCTAAGCCTTATCCCAAACCTATCAGAATAGAATCCCCCCCCCTTTTTTTTTTGTACTTTAGGTGCAAATTTACAGTGCAAAATGTGTTTTATATTCAATAGTTCATGTACATTTGATTTCATGCCCTGATTACCATTCCCATCAGAATAGAATCTTTGAGAATTTGTATTTTAAACAGAGCCATCCTGAAGACAATTTTTGTCCATTCTAAAGTCAGTTTAGTTGGACTTGACTTCATGGTAACCGGTGGTTTTTGGACAGAGAATTTGATAGATAAGTAATTGGATATATAGAGAGAAAACCAAGAGGACAAACAACTTGGCTTATCTCCCACTGCACCGCCATTAGCATGTACTCAGTAATTACTGATTAAGTAGATGAACAGAAAAGAACATGAAGTCATAGACTAAATATAGGATAATTTAGGGTTCATTTAGGTAATTAGGTAATTTAGTGTTCATTTAGGACCAAGTCATTAAACACAAGTTAGAATCCTGGCTCCATTGTGGCATAGTGCCTAAGACATTTGACTGCTAACCAGAAGGCTGGTGGTTCAAACCCACCAGCCACTCCTCAGAAGGAAGGTTGGGCAATCTACTTCAGTGGTGATACCACCTCGGAAACCCAAGGAGGGGTCACTATAAGTTGGATCTGACTCGATGACAAAAAACAACAACAACAATTGTTTACCAGTACTTGACCTTGGGCAGACTAACCTCTGTGTGTTTCTAAATTCTCAGGGAGAGTAAAGTAATAGTACTTACTTGGTTTGTTGTGCTTAGTAAATGGATATAAATATATCAAGTGTTTAGAACAATTTGTGGTTAAAATGTTCAAAACCATTAGCTCATTGCTGTGATTTTAGAGTAACCAGTCCACAGTTGGCCATCCACCAGTAATCAGTTGAGAGATGACCCCCAGGTTTTCTCACTCTGTGTACAACACCTTTTTTTCTTTATATGATTTGGCAGACATCAAAAGTTCCACCCTTTCCAAAATACCTCTTTCATCATATTACTTGGACTTTCATATGTGGGCAGGAATGTCCAGGATTGAGTCATTTTCCCAAATCAGACAATAAAACTGGACATTTCCTGTTAAAACAGCTTCTCTTAACTACAAAGGACAGGAAATACCAAAACAAGCTCCTCTTTTTCTATAGGTAGCTTTTTCCCATTAACCTTAGGTAAAGGTTGGTGTGTCACAGGACCTGAAAATAGGTAGAGTCTGAAAGCCTCCTCAGAAATTTGTATGTTTTTAATCTCTGGGGTTAAGGAGAAGAGGAAGAAGAGGAGTTTTAGAAATACACACGGAGACAAGTAACATTTTTATTTTACAGAAGGATGTTTAGCAGTTTATTCCTGCTTGGTCGTTTTTAAATCAAAGGCAATAAACCCTTTTCTTAGATAAACATTGAAGAATGAAGACAAATGTGAACATTGTGCTAAAGTATTGACATTTTGAAGGGCAAAGTAACTATCTAAAACTTTCTCAAAGGCTTTAATATTTTCACCCTGAACCTTTGATCTACTTTTGACAATCTTGGAAGAACAGTGGGGCATGGAGGGTACTCAGAGTGGAGATGAAACTCTTTATACAGAATTTGATTAAATTAGATAGCATTTGACTGCTAACCAGAAGGCTGGCAGTTCAAATCCACCAGCCACTCCTAGGAAGGCAGATTGGGCAATTTACTTCCATAGTGACACCAGCTCAGAAATCCAAGGAGGGGTCGCTATGAGTTAAAATGACTCCATGGCAGTGAGCTTTTTTTGTTTGTTTGGATTTTGGTTTTTGTTCCTTCACGTGTAGAAGCCTGAGTTCTCTGGAGATGTCCTCCTACACACACAGTGAGTGATTGTCTTTTGTACCTTACCATGGGAGAAAAACGGAGGGTGGGTGGAAAACTGACAAAAGTGAGAAGAGGGAATAGGTCAGAAATACGTCAAAAAGAGCAGGTTTGGCGAGAGTGGGCGGAGGAAGAAGAGGTGCGCTTGGTGCTGAAATTAGCTTTGTCTTTAGTTAGTTTAGAGGTGGTCTGGGAGCTCTGGTAGCGTAGTGGCTAAGGCACTTGACTGCTAACCAGAAGGCCGGCGGTTCAAACCCACCAGCCACTCCCCGGAAGGAAGATGGGGCAATCTACTTCCGTAGTGATACTGCCCTGGAAACCCAAGGAGGGGTCGCTATGGGTCAGGTCTGACTCAACGGCACATAACAACAACAACAACAAGAGGTGGTCTAGGAAAGAGAGATGAGTGAGGGGAGCGAAAGGAGGCAGCGCCAGCGCAGTAGTTCCCATGGGCGGGGAGTCCTGGGCGGGTGGTGGAGGCCACACCCCGGCCCAACTCGCCCAACGTTTTCCAGAGTTTAGCAGGAGCTGCTGCGTGAACCGGTAAACCTAGGAACCAGTGAATGATTTTCCCTACAGAATGGGGACTCCGGGGGCGCGAGGAGCTTCGAATCCCGCGGGATCACCCTCCTGCTCGGTGCGCGCTGGCTTCTACCTGCGTGAGCTGGGGCACAAGGTTCCCTTGGCCCCCGGCGCCCGAAATCTCGCCCTGGCAGGGACCAGCGGAAGGTGGGACAGCGCCATAGAAGACCCGTCGGCTGCCGGAGCGCCGGCGTCGCGAGCTGGAGAGAACGTGGACTGTGAGTCCTGGGTCAGAGAGAAAGTACTTTTTCTTCTGCACCCAGAGAGGTGTTTGGGGACTCCAGGGGACCCTACACGGGAAGAGGTGGCTGATCGGGAGGATCTGCCACCGGAGGGCGGAGACGACCAGGAGCCGGACTGTCCATCTCCTCACCTTCCTAGACAACAGCGAGTTTCGGGCCACAATGCACAGACTCCCTGGCGAGCCTTTGGATGGCGGGACTCCGCTGCCCCACCCAAATCCGTGCTCGTGCGGGTGGTGGATTATCAAGTGACAGAAGAAGTGCTGCAGACTGAGTGGACGAAAGGCTGCATGACCACTAGGACTGAGGAGCACTCAATGACCGCGGTCACTTTTCGCACCAACAGAGCTCAGGGACCCTGGGGGGCGCCGGCTTCTCTCCGCGATGAGAGAGGCACCCCGCATTCTCGAGGCGGAGAGGAGTGTTTCACGGTCCGCAGAGATTAAACAATAAAGAGAAGCCCAGGAAGGCGCGGCGTCAGTGAATCTGTTATAATCCTTAGAGAGCCTTTTAAAATGCTGGCGCCATACTTACGGGTGACAGATGCAGAACTCTAAGAAACGTGAACATCTCCTTTGTGACTTAAGTACCGTGATGGCCTAGTGATCCAAGTCATTCAGAAGTCTGGGAGAAAAGGTATTTTCAAATTGACAGGACGTGGGAGTTTTGAAATCGATAAGACAATTGTTAATTCTCTCTCATTTTGCAATAACCTCTTAAATGACTCTCTCCCCCTTTCTCTTTGGAACCTATAAGCAGAAATGAAGGTTCTGGTTTGCGTAGGACTGGTTGGAAAGAGAGATTTTTTTTTTTTTTTTAAGGAAAAAAAAAGAAATAGGGGCAGCAGCGGGGAGGCGGGGAGAGAGGGGAGGGAGCACATAAAACAAAGCAACAAGTAAAATCTTGTCACTCTCTTCTGATACGCACGTTGTTCCTCACCGCCCCCCCCCCCTTCCCAATGCTATGAAGAAGAGAAAGGAGCTAAGAAAAGAACGGGGAAAATACGAGACTGAGAAATGCCATTTAGAAGGGCTTCTCTCCAAACATTTTCTGATTTAGCCCAGCAAAAATGAAGCCATGTTGCCTTCAGCATGCCTTTAATATTCTGATTTTTAAAAATGATCTTAATATACTACATGTAAAATAAGGGAGATAGAGATGTACAGTATTTATCATTAAGAATTGTAGTCAAGGTTGGATTGATAAATACTTCTTTCCTGTTGTTGGGGGAAAAAAATTCCTGGTGTTGTTTAAACAATTCATTTTTCTTATTTATTCTGAACACCATCTTTTTAAACTCCTGTTACTAGCATGGACTCTACTAAGTCTATTTTGGAGATGTGGAAGGAGCAAACACTCCCTCTAGAAATGAACTGTTTGACTTCAACCGCTACTGGAGTAGTATTTGATATACTGTGACAATTTAAGTGGAACTCGAGCTTCTGAAGAGTAAATGGTTGAGCAATGCCTCTCCCTTGTCTCTCCTTCTTTGCTTCTGTTTTCAGTTTCCAAAAAGCAAAACCAAACTCATTTTGTTGAGTCAGTTCCAACTCATAGTGACCCCTCCTTGGGTTTCCGAAGTGGTATCTCTATGGAAATAGATTGCCCAGTCTTCTTTCCCAGGAGTGACTGGTAGGTCTGAACCACCAGCCTTCTGGTTAGCGGTCAAATGCCTTAGGTACTATGCCAGCAGAAAATGCCCTCAAAGGATCATCAGATCTAGCTCTTGCCTCCTAGCAGACAAAGTATGCCCTTAATATTGCAGATGAGGCAACCGAGGCTTAGAGAACATGTGGCTTGTGTGGATCATACACCTAGTAATTGCATACTTATTATATAGATACAGAATATGATCATCTTCCTTCCCCTCTAAAAGGACAAGGGATAACACAGGGGTCAAATGGTGACTTGAGGGCACCCCAGGTTTTCTAACATATGTTTATTAGATGGACTAGAATCTCATTGATTTCCCTGAATACAAGGTCTGTCAGCTAGAGATTCACCACTAGTAATCTTAGGCCTTTGAGATGAATTCAACACTTGAGCTCATCCGTGTTCAGAACTATGTAGCAGGGAAGAAGGATGATAGATAGTCTCTTCTCCTTAACAACCATGCCAGGATCCCACTGGAGGCTAAACTTCACAGTAGATGCACACATTTCAGACCTGAGCTTAAACTTTTAAAAAAGCTCTTTTATAATAACCAAAGCCAATAACATAATTCAGTTGTTTGGTCTCGGAGTCAAGCCCCAGGTGATCTGCTTGGATTCAAACCTACATCTTATTATCTGTGTGATTTTGGGTAGGGTCTCCATGTACCTTCTCTCATGTACTTTCATGGCCCTATCTGTTAAATGGGGAGAATAGTATCTATCTCACAGGGTTTTTTTCCCCCTTCTAAGAGTAAGTGAAAAATACAGTAGTGCATGGCATACAATAAATGCTCAACACTAGCTATTATTATTGTGGTTGCTGTCATTATTGTTGTTGTTGTTTAGCTCACTTTTCATCCTAACTAGGCTTTAGCCTTTTATTTAATAAAAATCCAAAACAAGAAGTCCTGTGTAACCCAAACTAATTATTTTTACTGAGAATAGTTTCTAAACTGGACTCCTGAATGAAAGGATTTATCTTTAGCTTTTCCCAGTGTTCAATGAATCAGTGCATTCCTCAAGTTCCTTAGAATTGACACATGTGATAAGAAATCATTCTAAGGCTCAAAGGCCTAAATTGCAGGGTGCAAGGCTGAGTCTTTGAAAAGGTTTCACAAACTGCCTAATTCTCCTTCGGAGGCTGTTGTTAGGTGCCATCAATTTGGTTCTTACTCATGATGACCCCACGTACAACAGAACAAAATGCTGCCCCATCCTGCACCATCTTCACAATTGTTGCTTTGTTTGAGCCCATTTTTGTACAGCCTCTGAGTTAATCCACATCATTTAGGGTCTTCTTTTTACTGACCCACTACTTCATCAAGCATTATGTCCTTCTCCAGGGCCTGTTTCCTCCTAATAATATGTCTGAATTATGGATAACATTGTGAAGAATGGAAATTCCAGAAAGCTTAATTGTGCTCATGAAAAGCCTGTACAAAGTTCAAGAGGCAGTCATTCGAACAGAATAAGGGAATATTGCATGGTTTAAAATCAGAAAATGTGTATGTCAGGGTTATATTCTTTCACTATATTTATTCAATCTGTATCTGAGCAAATAACTCGAGAAGCTGGACTATATGAAGAACAGGGCATCAGGATTGGAGGAAGACTCATTAACAACTTGTGATATGCAAGTGTATAATCTTGCTTGCTGAAAGTGAAGAAGACTTGGAGCACTTACTGATGATGATCAAAGACTGCAGCCTTCAGTATGGATTACACCATACATTTAAAAAAAAAAAAAAAAACTAGACTAATACGTAACTTCCTGATACATGGAGAAAAGATTGAAGTTGTTAAAGATTTCATTTTTTTCAGCTCCACGATCAGTGCCAATGAAAGCAGTAGTCAAGAAATCCAATAGCATATTGCATTGGGCAAAGTTGCTTCAAAAAGCCACTTCAAAATGTTAAAAAGCAAAGGTGTCACTTTGAGGAAAAGGTGCACTGATCCAAGCCATGGTATTTTCAAAAGCCTCATGGCAATGAATAAGGAAGACTGAAGAGGAACTGATGCATTTGAATAGTAGTGATGGTGAAGAGTGTTCAAAATACCCTGGCCTGCCAGAAGAACTAATAAAATCTGTCTTGGAAGAGGTAAAGCTGGAATGCTTCTTAGAGGCAAGAATGTCCAGACTTCATCTCATGTACTGTAGTCATATTGTAGAAGGCACCATTCCCGGGAGAAGGATATTATACTTGGAAGAGAGTTAGTGAAAAAGGGGAAGACCCTCAACAAAATGGATTGACACAGTGGCTGTAATTGTGGGCTCAGGCTTACGATTGTAAGGATGACACAGGATTGGGTAGTGTTTCTTTCTGTTGTACATAGGGTTGCTGAGTCTGAACTGACTCAGTGGCACCTTACAACAATACCGAAGTACCTTAGACAAAATCTTGCCATCCTCACTTCTTTTTGTAAAATGCATTTTATTGAAATATAATTTATGTACAGTGAAATACACAAAGCTAAAGTGACATGGGTCAATGCATTTTTTTTTTCTCAGTG